TTACAAACCAATAATGTAGAGCTCGGCCTCCCTTTGGATAACCTTAAACAACTGCTTTATTTCTGCACGTATAATGTTCAGTTCAAGTTTAACGATGAGATCTATCGACAAAAGGATGGTGTAGCCATGGGGTCTCCGCTGGGACCGCTTTTCCCGAGTTTATTCATGGCGAAACTTGAAAACACTCAATTACAGTCATCCATCGACGACTGTGTACTATACACACAGTACACACGGTAGATGATATTTATTGTGTGATCGGTGCAACATCGAATACAACGGAACTATTAAACAGGTTCAACAATGCGCATCCCAACATAACATTTACTTTAGAAATGGAGTGTAACAACAAATTGCCGTTTCTAGATGTCTGCATCACCCGTCGATCAGATGGTTCAGTGCAGCGTTCCGTGCATAGAAAGGCAACGTGGAAAGACCAATGCATTCATTTCCGAAGCTTTGTGCCACTAAAGATAAAAAGGAACCTGGTTCGTCATTCTCACCTTATTCATGTTGACAATAGCTGTTCAAAGGAAATCTTAAGTTTTTAGTGCCATTCTTTCGTCAGAAATGAACTGAAATTGGCACATGCTCTTGGTAGCAGTTAGTTCTCTAGCATTTGACTATGGAGTGTTTTTAGAGAAAGACTTCCATCGTCCACAGAGTACATGCCACACACTCCAGTAAAGTGCTCCGCAGATCGATAACGTTTGGCCAACCGCAGCGAGTGACTATTGCGCAAATGTGCGTCATAGAATCTTTCTTTTTTTGAGAATAAAATCTAACAACGTCTGTAAAACGTCTAGGGTAGATGTTTCAGTAAACGGAATTTACCGTCACGGAGCTCTCTTGCACTGACTTTTAGCGACCCAAATTCATAGCCTTCGCTGTGAGCATTATGCATAAAGCAAGTATGGATGCGCCGGCCTAGTTTGCATTATATCGACTTTGCGAGAGGGAAAATATGCCGAACTTCTAAGGTAAACCAAGCAGAAAAGTCCAACTATGCATAAGCATACACACGCACCTAATAAGAACTGAAACCGCGGCTACTCAGTGACTGTCGCATCCTTCAGTATCTTCATCAATCCATCAGTTACAGAGTTTGTCGGAACCCATCATAGAGGACGGGAGACACCTATCTTAATCTCAAATCAAGTCAACGCAAGCTTTGCACACGAAAAGTTCAATGCTGTTAATGAGGCGATCCTGAAAAGGTTTACTGACTAGAGGAAAGGTAGCATTGCTAGTTAATAGAAACTCTACGATGTCTTCGTAGTAGAGATGGCAAAAGTCTGCCCTGCGTTTGTAATTATTCTCAAAACGCATGGATGACTTCTTTGTGATTCCACAATTGCCGTATCAATGTCTACTGCAAGTTAGTTTCTCAAGGACACTCTAGTTCACTGTTTACAAATAACGCCCCTTGCCATAGCAAAGTAGCAACATTCTTGAACGTAACACTGGCATGGCTACCTCCAAACTGCCCTTCAGTGTTACAGCAATGTACCAGGGCGTGATAGGGTCTTTACGGAAATATTTGAGAATAGACTTTCGTAGACGATGAGCAATCCAGTATAAAAACCGAAATGGACCTTCTCATAGCGATCTATCTGATTGGAAAGGCTTGTGCACCTGTTCATTCGTTCATAGTGTTCAACGCTTTCGTAAAACCTGGTTTCAAACACACGCTGAACCAAAAGATTATGCAGTCACCAGAGATCGAAAGTTTTGCGCATAAGATGCCTATTGATCAGTTCATTTTTCAAGTAGAACCCGCCTGTTTAAAATTTGATGATGGAAAAATGGGTTATCCAAAAATCGTGTCAAACTAAGGCCTGGCATGAGGGTATGAAAACGCTAACACGGAGTCTGGGTTACATAGGTCCCGTTAGGTTCCCTGACTGGGAACCTCGGGATGGTCGTAACCGACGGTTAGAGACACTGAATGATATGGCTGGGTGTCGTAAACAGTGGTGTTCGTGCATCTTCTCAACTTCTCTGCTTCATTAGTCCACTGAACTTTTTAATTTTCTCTTCGATCCTACTTACAACCTTCCTGTTTTCCTCCTATTGTTCACCCAAAAGCGTCGCACTGAAATATATGCTTAATCGTTGTTTAAACTGAACTGAACTGAACTCTCCTTCCGCTTGGTTCATCGGACCACTGTATTGTTGACTGCTCCATCAAATTTACTCGTCCCGATCCTGTATCTACCACGAGACAGTTCAGTCA